ATTAGGGCTTATTAATGTGAAGTTTAATACTTCAGTCAGGTGGTGCTGAGGCTCAGGATAACTCTTAAGATTGTCTGCTAACCAGTCAAATCCAATGTGGTGTTTTCTGAGTGCCAGGGTGGGAATGCAAAGATGAGGTCTTAAGGGAAACCTTCAAGATGACTTAGTAGTTTGGGAAAGCCACCATGACTGAAGGGAGTCTTGATGGTTTAGTAGAGGACAATGCCTTTCTTGTCAACAGGGTGATTTAATGGAAAAGCCATGCATTTTGCTGAAGGTGCTATCCCTTTGCAAGTTAAGCAGAGATGAGAAAATGTGTGCTTAGTAATGTCCTCTGGGTTCTTTTCAATAGTTGACTCCAAAGTTAATTGTCTGAACTTTGTTGCACCACTGACTTTTCCTCTGTTTTTTTTGTTTCTTACTGTTTGTTTGTTTGTTTTTAACCTGCTATCCTTTCTCCTCCTAAACTGTTTCATAAAGTCCTTGACAGTATTTAAAAACACAATAACGTTCATTCTTCGAGATGGCTACTCTAGTGGATGGAATGATTTAAAGGATCATCAGTCTGTTGCTTTGTAAAGCACTTTCTCCGGAATACGCTGGGAGCGTGTGAATGTAGCTACATGTTTACTGTAAATGTCTGCATATGTTGAGAAATACATGTTGAGGAAAAAAAGTCCTAATTTGTTGTAGTGCTGATGGAAGTTTTATGTTATTTCAAGGGGAGAGTAAACTCAGAATATGACTAGAGGACTGAATATCTGTATAATGGAAGTGTGGACACAGGTTGACTTCAGAACAGCAGATTGTTATCCACCTCTATCTGCGCTCCTGTGGGTTAGGCTGTATCAAGACAACGTTATGCATGGCAGGGGAAGGGGTCTTTTTCTTAGAGGGTATCTGCTATTTGCTAATGCTCTTCAATCTCAGGACGTGCACGTGTGTGTTCTGGTACTGTGAATCGGTGTGTGTCAGCTGTGGATATGAATGTATTGCATTTCTGTAGGGTCTTTATACATGAACTAATTGTGTATGCTTAAGGAAAAGGGGTGCAGAATCCTGTAGCACCAGTTGTCACCGCTGCTTTTGTTCACCATAACTGCATCCGTTAGCTGTAAATTAAAGAATTTAATAGTACTAGGTTAAATCTTTTTTTTTTCTCCTGCTTAATTGTCTTGGAAGTAAATTTGGGAATAAGCTCTGTTTCCTATTAAGAGTGCAGTAAAAGGTCTGTGCAACAGCCAGCTGATGCTGGCCAGGAGCCTGAGAATTGTCATGATTCACCTCTCTATTCATCTTTGTCACCAGGCAAAGGGAGGAGATAAGGCAAATTAAGATCTCCTGTCAAAGTGAAGCATATTTGAATTGCAGCTATGACATGGAGCGAAGATACTGCATGTGTTCATCTGATCCCCAGGCAAGTTTCTTCTGCCTTCTACGGTGAATACATGACTCAAAGGGCTAAAACCTAAAGCAAACATCTGTTGCTTCAGTTGAAGCAGCAGGTCTCGGCAGAGACCACAGCCTGGATTTGGGAGCTGTAAGAAACCTTCAGCTGGCTGAAACATGCTGATCATGGACCCAGGTGTTTGTGCCTGCAACCATTGCTCTGTCCATGCAGCATTGGAGAGCATATTTCTAAAGGCTGGATCTCATAGATCTAATCAAATACTGATGCAGAGGGCTTTGGTTAGGTAACTTCAATAAACGCTGATTTTTCTGTAATAGACCTGTAGCTATCTTTTTAAAAAAACAAAGTGCCTTTTCTTTCCTGCTCTCCTAACTTGCATGTTTGTCCATTGGAGTTTCTCTTGAATCTAATTTCTTTAGCAAGTAATGGCAAGCGATATGCATTCCTGGGCTACGTGCATCCTCTTTGTTGGCTCTTCAAAGAGCTATCTGTTGTAGGAGAATACATTTATCCCCCTCTCAGCTGGCAAACGCTCCAAACTTTTTTCCTTTCCATGTAGTACATGTTTCGGTAAGTCAGTAGCTTTTTAGGGGGAAAAAAATTGTGCATGTGTGTATGTATATATGTATGCATGTTTGAATGTGAAGCAGAGGCCAGAAGGTTCTTAAAATATTATTAATCTTGTTTCTCTCTTGAGTGAGATCTTGTGAGATGACAGTGTCTGTTCACATAGTCTGTAGCAATCTGGTAATCTGTGTTAAACTGGCTACTAATTGTCAGCAGGGGTCTGCCCACTGCCCCGGGTGCCCTCTGGGGTCTAAGGGGGCGCGCTTTAGTTTGCAGAGAAGACGGGTAAGGAATATTGCAGTGGTCAGTTCAGGCTCAGCTGATGGGCTGGTGGCTAGTGAAGTTGTGGCAGCTCTAGAGCTTCAGATCGTGCAAGCTTTGCCTGTGCTCCCAGAGGGCATGGTGGGACTTGGTTCTCTCCTTTCCTGCAGCATCCTGACAAACTGGAAGAGGCAAGCTATGCTTGCTAGCTTCCCTGATGTAAGTGACTGTATTAGCTACCAGTTGCCCTCGGCTGGTTTGTAATAATTCGAGGTCTGCTTTCTTAAGGTAGCTCTGAGCTTCCTGATAGAAGGTTTTTGTTCCTCATCAGCAACAGCTGTCTGAAGTGACTTACAAAAGTCCTGTGCTAATAGGAGACCTCCACGGAGCCCGAGCGAAAGGGCTGAGCAAATGGAAACAACCCGATGGCACTGGCTAATGTGTGTTGGTTCTTTTCATCTCAACCATAAAGAGGAATTCGGAGAAAATGTGTGTTCCTCTGTGTGATGACTAGCTGATTATATTGCTTTCCTTCTGGCTTGCAGAGTCTCTGGATTTGTAATACATCAGAGTGTTATCCTGCAATGATCTCTGCTGTCCTACTTGTGCCGGGCTCTGCTCTGACTCCTATACAACGTTTTCGCAAACAAGCCTCAGTTTATGGTTTCGATGCCCCCAGCTGCATTTCAGCTTCCTTCAGTGGCTTGAAGTTTACAGCTTCTGAATGAACCATTCTTAATGTATTTTTTTTAACCATGCTGTTACTCTAGATTGCGGACGTGAACACTGATTCTGATCTGGGAGGATCCTGTTACAGCTAATTCCCGAGCGTGTGGCTGTTTGTGAATCGGCATGCGAAGCAGTTACGTGTTTTATGTGAGAGCTGTACGTGGAAATCGTCCAAGCTTCAGCAGTTAGTTTTTCACCTGCCTATGGGAAAGGCCTGGAACAATTTTCCTATTGCTTCATGTGAAGCTAAGCTTAGATATATCTGTATGACATTGGTTTATGAAACCTAATGCTTTGTCCACCATCTCTTGTAACACGGATTAACTTTTCCTGGAAGGGAAATGCTTGCAGGATGACTGCTTTGTGTATTCCCTGCAGGTACCTACTTCTTGTGGGGCAACGGATGCATCCTAAAGCAAACAGAAAATTGCTGATGCACCAGGACACGTGTTCTGTGCTGCTTCAGGTTGCTTCAGCTTCCACCTGTAGCATGCTCTTTGTATTGCCTGTCCTTTGCTTCCCCTCTCCTAAAAACGGCTGTGCCACTGACACCAGAAAGGGCTCGTGTGACCCATCTAGTGTGGCAGAATGTCGGCT